ATTGTTCACTGGGAATTCTTGAAGAACAGCCACATTTACAACCTTTTTCTAAAAAATCAATTGCTTTTTGATATTCATTAGAATCATTATATTTATTACTTTTCATATACACTTATCCCTATATATATAATTTTATGTTCACTTTGTAGGTTTTTGTTAAAATTAAGTACAGATGGAAAGTCTGTGTTTGGTTAATTACAGTCTGGGTTTCTGCTAATTGGGATTGTGTAACAGGTGCTGATTTTTACACTAAAACCCATGGTATAGTGATGTGATTACAAGTTCTTTTATTAAGATAGTACAAAAAAATTATTACAAATTTGCATAGAAAAGCATACAAAAAACCAGAATCAATTGAAAATCAATTCGGATCTCGAAAAACCTTTCCTCCATAACAAATTCTAATAAGACATTTTATATATTAGGGCATACATTCTGGACTTTTAAAAATTATAATTCCAAAAAACTAGACAACATGTAATAGTCTATTGTTATTCATGTATTAATTTTCTCTTTAATTCATGACACAGTCACACGAAATTTATTTTGCATAAAACGTCAAAATTATTTTTATTATATTTACGTTAGCTATATTATTATGTGTATTGTGTTTATTATTATTTATATTGGTTTATATTATTATTTAGATACAAGTTACCAATTAAATGCTGCAGCTTTTCAGAAAGTTCTAAGATATTATTATGATTATGATTTATTTATTTGTAAAACCATATAATGTACGTTTTTTTGTATAAAAAGATAAGCTTTCCGTAATAATAAAGAGTAACTTGTATTTTTAAAAATAAATTGTAATTTGACGTAAGGAAAAGGGTTTCCTTACATGGGCAAGACTCCAACAAATATCTAACCAGCAAGACAGACACCACAAAGATATTTATGCTTATTTGTTCATTTATGACCACTTAATTCACAAACGTCATGACAAGAACACTCAAGTTGGCTTCTACGTTTTTCAAATAGTTCAGAAGTTATTTTATTTAAAATAATTATTTAAGGAGATGAAGTGATAAAAAGTAACATTATTATTGCTATTGTTATTATTATTAATTTGCTGCACGAATTATCTTCATGATACACGATCAATTCTGAATTTTACATATATATTAGTATTAGTATATCAACAATTAATATACAAAAATTACTATTTTAATTTCAAGTTATAATCTTCATATTAGGAAGCCAATATATTGCCCAAAGATCCAAGTGCTTGGCGGCTTTGACTTCAGGTTATAACATTTAGCCCTTTTGAAGGTGTGTTTTTCTTTCCCTTGTATTTAAGATCTTTATCATCCTTTTGTTCTTCATCTGATGTATCAGAAGATAACTCTTTAACAGCAAACATTGCAGGCTTTTCAATGAATGGTGAATATTGATTACTAGTGGCAATGAAAATTACATAGGCAACTGATTTGAGCAATGTAGGGTCTGTTGATGTGTTAGTAATGACATCTGATGTTTGCAACCACCCTTGATCTTCCTTTACACCTCTTTTAAGAAACCATGTTTGATTGAACGTTGATAATACTCCATAACTATAAAAGGCTTAAATTAAAATCTGTTAAAGTTGGATAAAACAAAAGAAAGTGGAAATATTTACCGTAATTTATTGGCACACATATATCCATAAATTTGATTTATAGGTTCGTAAACTGTAGTATCTTTTGGACCTGCATATTTTCCCTTTCGAGTCTTCTTTTCCCAAAGATAAAGTGATACAATGTTATTATTAGAAGGCACCTTTAAAACCCATATTGTTTTATATTCAAAGGGTATAAGTGCTTTGTAGTTTTCATCAACCACTATGAAATCTGGCTCTCCAGCCATATTTTCCAAAGCACGGCCATCTAGAAAGCAAATTGATCTGTCTAGTGGTGTTAGAATATCATGGATATTTATTTCTGCTGCAACCCATATATCTTTTTCGCATGTAATAGTACGTGATCCAAATACTGGTTTTTTGTATCGCTTATTGATGTACTCTGACTGCCATGATCGCACCTCTTCTTTGAACCCTACTAAGGTTTCTGGTCCAAACTGTTTTCTCAAAGCCCAAACTAGTTTGGGCAATTTGGGCTTCTCAACATTTTCT